CATGCCAACAGGGGCGGAAAGTGTTTAAATTTTAAATATGAGGAAATATTTTAAATAGAATTGTCTGAGACAATCTCATCTGTGTCCATGTTTCACCAGTCTGTATGAATGCTTCTCTGTAATGAAATCAGTAGTAGTCGGCTTCTCTTCAGTATATGTGTGTATATCCCATTCACAGAAAAATTCTTGGATCTAGTGAGACAACTAAACTAAGCAGTTCTTTTCAATCAACGTAATTTTAAGTGCCCAAGCAGCTGACAACTGCGAGAGCGGCTTCTCTTGGCCGCAAACCCACCCAAAACGCATTGCGGCGATGGCATTTTTCTTTCTTTTGGCAGCTCTTTGGCGATATCTTTGGAGTTACAGCTGCCGTTTTCAACTGTTGGCTGCAATTTTAATTTAATTTCAAAATGCTTAAAACGCGGCTTTCTTTTGTCTTTTGTTTTTGTAGAATACCATTGCATATGGAATATGAGTGTGTATGTGTGCGTAAATTCCTCTTTGTGGTTAGGCTGAGCTCGCTAACTGGAGAAGCTTCAGTCGTTTCTTCCCTTCCCACAGCAGCTCTTTGCAGCAGAAAAACTGAGCAGAGCAGACGAATAAAAAGGCAGACGGCGACTTTGTTGCATTTGTAAGCAGAGTTGGCAACGTTTGTGCATAAATGATGACTAGAGTGTGTGCGAGGCAGCCGCTCTCATTGTATTTGCCACACGTTGCGCATACGACGCGTTGTCTGAGGAACAACAGAAAAAAATCAACGCACACACAAAGTAAACATGCACAATTATATGTTATGTGTGAGAGTGTGTGTGCAAGTGTGTGTACCGGTCGTCCGGCATGGCAAGCTACTGTTGCCAACCATTGTGATATTTTGGCTGGCACGCTATCAGAGCACACAAGTCCAATGTCAAATATGCGGCTCTCGACGCCGCCGCCGACGCCGACGCTGTCGTCGACGTCGACGCCGCTGTTGGCAAACAAGACAATGAAAATGCTTTTCGTCTGCGTTGACTCTCGGTGTTGGCATTAAAAAAAAAAAAGAGGAAAATAATAAAATAAATGCGCCACACACTCTCACTGGCAGTTCCAGCTCAGAGTTGCTGGCAACGTCATTTTGTCATTCCAGCAAATGCCAGCGAAGTTTGTCGAGGCTTTCGGTTTGTGCCAGTCCCCGACGAACTTAGTCGCCACATGGCAGGAATACAATTGCTTTTATGAAATTAAATTACGACACACATATTTAAACACTCCCATGGGGTGAGTATGAGCAAGATTGGGCGTAAGAGTGTGTGTGTGAGAGCGAGAGTGGGGGCTAGGAGAAGCATCTACTGCAGTCAACAATATAGCTGCAGAGGCTTGAAAGGCTTTCGGAAGTTTCTGCCAGCTGCTGACGAGAGATTCTTTAATGCGTTAATGTTGATTAAAAAAGAATCCTTGAAAGTCTATCAAAAAGTCAGAATAGTCCACTCAAAATGTAAGCAATTTTTATGTGTCATATGCAAGGCAATGCAAAATAAAAACCAAGGACACTTGAAAGAAAACTACATTTGGCTGAAAGCTGCAAAGTTGCACAAAGAATGTATTTCTCATGTTATATAAAAAATAATAATAATATAATTAAAATATGAACTCAGAATGCAATTCATGTTCTTTTGCGCAGTGCATTTTCACACCCTATACGCATAAGAAAGTCAAATCATGTCCAAAATTTGTAGAGTATATCTCAGACGCCATAGAGTATATATTATATACATATACATTAAATATTGTCATGTCTGGACTTCACGATCTACTTTAAAGATCGAGCGGAAAATAAACAAACTGAGAGAGAAGCACTTTGCAGTCGGATACTTATTTTTCTCATTCCTTTGAGGGTATCATGTTCTTCAGCTTGTAAAAATCTGAAAAATAATATAAGAAAAATCAAATTTAATGACATAGAATCAGTGCAAATTATTTACACGGGCAACCTGTTACCCATCCTTTGCAAGCCTCTGCTGAAGTAAATGACAAATTTAATTTAAATTAATCCCCGCTAGTGACTGCCACGCCACTCCCCGCTGCCACTCGCTACCCACCCTCTTTGAGATTCACATCGTCGTCGCCGACATCGTCATCAGCGCATTACAAACAATTCCACTTTAGGCACGCAGCCACAGCAGCTTGTGGTTACACGGCAGGCGCACATAACGAGATTGTGACTACTGGACAATGGGCGTGGCATCTACATGCCGACTTTCACAAACACACTCTAACACACCTAGCAGAGTGGACAAACTGTTTGCAAGCTTAAGACTTGTTTAGCAATTTAGAATTTTTAAATACCTTTTAATTTGCAATCAGCGGTTGATTTGTTTACCAAGGACTTGGACTTGTACATAATATAAAATGCGTCCCTGGTCTTTGCAACATGTGTACAGCGTCTAGACAATAGCCATTCAATGATTCAATAGTTTAATTTCAAATTTCCACACAAATAAGCAAATACTCAGTCAGAGAAGCAAGAGCTCAAGCAAGGACAACAATAAAAGCTTTCTGTTTAGTTTAGTTATTAAATATATCAATTTCCATTTGGAAAATTACGCCACATTCCGGCCTGGCCTTCTGTGCCTATCTGTGTGGGTTTTGTTTATCCAACTAGCAAAGGTGTTTGCTCTTACATATGCCATATCTCTAGCAGCCTTTAACTGTATCTGGATCTGCACAGCGTGCGTAATTAAACAAAAGTTGATAATGTGTTGATTATTTGAAGTATTTATGTAATATACTGTTTTCTCTGCCATTCTTAACGAATGTGCGAACAACGATAAATGATTTTATTGCCGCCTATTTCTAATGGTAATTATTTAATTACTTTTGCATATGCAGCATACTGCACAAGCATTTCAACCCTAGTTATATTTGGTACGTGTCTCGTGACGACACAACGAAAGGCCAGAAAGATATTCACATTAAACAGGCAGCCAGCTTAAAATTGTTGGCATAACTATATTTGACATTAACTAATGCTTAAAACATTTGTACTTACATTAACTATCTGACCAAAGAGAGCTTTCTTTATGACTTATTAAATTCATTTATGTTAGTTATAGTAAAAATAAGCTTCTTCCCCTTTATTTACACAAAGTGTTTCATTTTTGTAACTAGAGCAGTCAGCTTGGCTCCGTTTAATCAAGGTGTCCTGCAACTTACATTTTACAAGACATTTGTAAGTATAAGTATGCTACATATATGCGAAACATTGCTTATAGCGGTTCACTATATCATATAGCTACCATGGGAAAAAACAGTCCAAAAGTAGGTTCTTATATGGCAAAATATTATGTTTTCCAAGACACATTCTCACATATCTGCAAAAGGTAATGTGTAGAAGGGTTTTAAGTCTTCGGCGTATTTGAAGAAATCTTTACGCTCTCGTTTTTTTTTAATTTTCCTGAAATTTAAAAATTTTATTACTAGTTAGTAGTTAATAGTTGGGTTGGAAGCTGATATATTGTGGAACAGAATTTATTTTAAATAAAATCAATTAATTTTCTTCTATTTCTCTTGGTTTGTACTAAAACTTGGCGTGTGGATAAGGCAAAACGAGAAATGACTCAATATTTTCAGCCACTTGCAAGCACGCAATCAGTTTAGGTTTTCAGATGCCAGCCACGAATTTCGAGCTGCATTGTATTGTAATTCAAACCCCCTTACACAGGTCAACTGACAGCAATTGGCGTTCGAAAACAAAAACGGAACGAAAGCTGCAACAACAGCAATAACGAATGCAATTTTCAAATGCCAGGAAGAAAATAGTTTAAGTGCAAAATTTTACGCTTTATCGAATTACCCGCGGGTGCTTTAACTTACTGCCGAACTTTTCGGGGGCAAAAGTTGTGCGGCGCACGCGTTGCACGAACTCCTCTTTGGGGCAAGGGCTGGGGCTGGTGGGTGCGGTTGCAATTTATGATTGTAAGGTGTTGCAATGGAAACTAAGAGCAGTTTTTCGTTTTCTCGGGTAAATTTGTTATATTTTCTTACTGTCAGCCAGACCATTTGTTAAATGAGTTGGCAAAGCTAATCGAAGAGTTATGGACCGGGATGTCGTGCGAACTGGCGAAACTGTGAAACGTTTGAGCCGTTGCATCCACGAACTGCCTTGACCTGCATCCCAGGATGCCGGTTTACCTTTTTACAGCTGCTGCGCTTTGTTTGCCCTTTGCTGGCAACGGGCACAAAACTTATAAATAACGCTAGGCTTTGGGCAAACAATATACTCATGAAGCATACGTCCATGGACCAAGACTCGAACTGGACCAATAAAAAAATAATTTATAACAAAGCGGCCGAAAAGCAGAAAAAAAACGTAAGACGGGCGGACGCGAGCAGCAAAAACGTGCAGCTAAAATTGCCCAAAATGCTAAAGTAAGATTTATGCAAATCGGATGTAAACATTAATCAAACTTTTTTTGCCTGCGAAACTCCCCCAGCAGTTTCTGCCGCCGCTGCTGCTGTTGTTATTGTGGTGTGCGACTGGCAGGCCTAGGAAAAACATGGCATACTTTTGTGGCGCCAGCAGCCAGATTGCACGCTAAGGATTGTGGGTCAGAGATACTCGTGCAATGAGCGGAAACGAAAAGCAAAAAGAAAACTTTCTGTTGCCCGTACGCAAGCCAAAGCCCTTCTTAGGGCACTTTTTTTTTTGGCGTGAACTTCATAAATTACGACGTCATATGCCAAAAATAGTCACACAGCGGAATCTCGTCGTCATTTATATTGAAACGTCAAATCAACAAAACGTGTGTGCTAGCTACTTGGCAGGGAATGCTTCGCATTAAAATGTTGCAACTTAATGCCAATGGGGATCGTATTCTATGTACTGTGGCAAGCAATTCCTACTTCGCCTTGTGCCCAATTGTCAGAGAATGGAGAACTTTTGTATTTTAGTTTAGCCTCCCCACAGGCACTTCATTAAAAATCACTCATGAAGATGAGCAGGAAATGATAAACCAGGGGAATTTGTTTCGCAGGTTGTCGCACTTTGCGCCAACCAGTGTAGTTCATATTAGGGCAATGGTCCTAATAAATATATATTTCAACTCGAAAGGGAACGGTTTCGGCTCCAAGCCGTTTCAATTAACTACAACATGAAGCTGGCGTCGGATCTCGACCAGAACGCTTTGTTATGGATAGTCTAGTGAACTCCTCTGCGGTAGTGGGATGAATGCCAACAGTGTTCAGCAACGTCTTTACAGTGAGACCCGACTTCAGAGCGGCAGCAAATCCTTGAATAACCTCTCCAGCCACAGGCCCTATGTAGTGTAATCCCAAGATTTTCTGATCGCCGGACACTTCGGCCACAGCCTTGAGGTAACAATGACGCACACTCTTCTGCGGTATAAAGAACTCGGTGGGCTTGTAATATGCGTGGAACACCTCGATATTCTCAGCGCCAATCTTTTCGATAGCCATCTCCTCGGACATGCCAACACAAGAGTATTCCAGGGGTGTGAAAACTGTTGTAGCCACATCAGTATAATCCATTAGCTGCGTAGAGCCGGAAAAGAGGCGTCGTGCCAGCAGACGACCCGATAGAATGGCCACGGGGGTAAGCTCAGGCCGGCCGTAGATGATGTCGCCAACAGCAAAGATATGGGGCACGTTGGTGGCCTCCGTATGATCAACAATGATTTTGTCGTTATGTGTCTGGACGCCAGCTGCACCAAGATTCAGATCCTCCGTGAGGCCCTTTCGTCCGATGGCCCACAGGACCGTATCAAAGACATCGCTACCAACCATTTGGGTTGTCGTATTTTGATACTTAACGAGCAGTTTTCCATCTGCCTGCCGCTCTACCGCCTTCGGAATGGTGGTGTTCAAAAAGCGAATACCACGCTCTATCATCATCGCACCCAGAAACTCGGACATCTGACGATCGAAGCCACGCAGAACAATTGAACGCACCATTACGGTGGGATCGTAGCCAAGACCCTTTAGAAAGCAAGCGCACTCCAGGCCCACATACCCAGCGCCCACGACTAGGGTGCGACCGGGTTCCTTCTCATAGCTAAAGATGTCATCGCTGGTGATGCCAAGCTCTGTGGCTCCCGGTATAGGCGGATATCGCGGACGTCCGCCCACAGCAACCACGACGTATTTTGCGGTCAGCTGCTTTCGTTCTCCCTGTTTTTCAATATACTCAATGGTATGTGGATTCACAAACCTGCCAATGGAGTTAACATACTCCACTTTTTTGTCGCGCAAGTCGACGCGCGTTACCCAATTCACAGACTTAATATGATCCTGCACGGACTTGACTAGCTTCTTCCAGTCCGGTTTAATGTTCTGATCGTTGACATTCCAGCCATAGGCCACAGCCTCGTGCACAGCCTCACCCAGCAGCGAGGCCTGATGCATCAGTTTCTTGGGTATGCATCCCACATTCACACAGGTTCCACCCACACCCCATTTGGTGCCCGCGGGCGTAGGTTTGACAAAGTCAAAGCATAGAACGTGGGCCCCATATTCTACGGCCTCCTTGGCGCATGCTAGCCCGCCAGAGCCACCGCCGAGGACCACCAAGTCGTAATCGTATTTGCAATTGGCTGCGCTTGCCGCTGATCTGGCAAAGCGAAAAAAAAGCACAGAACGTGGAAGCCTCGGGTTCCTAAGTGCCTTGAACATCAGCATTTTCAGCGGCAGTATATACTTTTATTATAACTTGATAATTTGTAGCAATAAAGCTTGGAAACTGCCAACTTGACTAGTTTAATTCAGACTGCCCAGAGTCAAGCTTCGCTGCCAACTTGATAGAAATGCAATCGCTTTCTATAACTTCTTGCTAAGGTATGTATCGAGTGGCTCCGCGACTCTATCGATAAGAGCAGCTGAATATTATCGGATCTGTCAGCCTGATTCATTCAACGCGTTCCAGTTCCGAACATGCAAAGCCGTTTTAGAATGTCAAATTAGCTACGCGTCGAAACTTTATCAGTTGTTAAATGTGAAGTTTCTTTTAAATTAATTCTTGAGTTGCTATAAATTTTTTAATATTGTTAAACTTTTTCTAATCGATTTGTTGTGCATTGAGTTTCTACAAAAATGAAATGAAAGAGAAAACATTTGGTCAGAGGCATGATTTGTCATCAGGGTCTTATATCTTCCGTATTTAAATTGTTTTTGTTAGTTTTTGTGCCAAGGTGCAATGGGGACAAATAAATTATAAATTTATTTGCCAAAGCTTTCCATTTTCTCCTCCATTACAGAAGTTATAATATGAATATTTTGTATATATTATTTGTTGTTGTTATTTTTAAAGCTTTTTCAATACAATGCCGATAGAATTGGGCCAAAATCAATATAAATAATGTGTTTGGGTGAGCTTCATTTCTACAGCGAAATTGTGTATGTCAGCAGCAAAAGATTCATTATTTGCAGTTTTAATTAAGGTCAGGCAACTTATCTCATCAGTGCATACGGCTAGTTTACCTTGCTTAAGAATTTATACAACAGGCAGTCTCATATGCAAGCAATTTCGGCTTAGTGGACGAGTCTTTCTTTGCAGCTGATATCACATATATCTAAATCTACCTGTCAATAAGGACAACAAACTCAAGAAAGCAAAAAGTTCTTCGCACCAGTGACCCAGTTGAAGACATCCTTTTTACTACTATCAACTCCGCAGGGGTCTTACTAAAACTCCTGGCTGCTTCGGAACCGGACTCCAAAACGGTGCCAGTCACTGACATAGTCCCAATTCCAATGCTACTTGGAGAGTGTGCGTGGCCGTCAGTCAGTCTTGTCCGCATTCAATTGCAAAATGATTTATATAAGTTGACTTTGTTGGGGCGGACCATCCGATATTGGGAATACAAAATTTTGTGGCACACTGAAGAGCAGTTGATTTACCTCTTTAATGTGCACGCACACTGCGTGGGCTTGCCCTGAAAATATCAGTTAATGGCATATTGGTCACCTTCACTTAAGGTTTTTCATTTGGAGCAGTTTCAAGAAAATCAAGATATCTTAAGCGAATGCTTTGCCCACATGAACATAAAGGCAAAACCTTTGCCATATACATATATAGCAAAATGGCGAAACGTCAGTTCCAATGATTTATGTTTCACCATGGACCATTTAGAATTTCGGCTGGACGTTGGTGAGCAGTGCTCCTTTTCTCAGCATACCCCTTACCGAAAGGCCCGAACCCATCTCCAATCAAGTAAATGGCGCTATGCTCTGCTGCCTGCCGGCCTGACCGACTGCCCTTTGGCTGTCCATGGCTGTCCTAATTTCTAATCTAATATTTTTGCGTAAGAGAAAAAAATGAGACAGAAACAAGCACAGAGAAATTCTTGGCCATGCTTGGTGTCTACTTTGGGTATGATTTACTTTTGCGGTTTGTTTTTGGTGCGTTTAACCGCAAATATTTAATGGATTTATTTCAGGGCTAGGAGCCCTCAGCTGCGATTCATTTGTAAATGTCTGTGGGCCTTTGTGTGTGTGTGTGTGTGGGTTGTGTATGTGTGGGGTGTGTGTGCGTGGGTGTGAGTATTTTCGTATTTTTGGCATATTTATTAGTTGAACCAAACGACCTACAGTTTGTAGTTGTAGTTGCAACGTGTAGTGTAGTGTATTGTCGTCGTTTCCCCAAGGTTAGAGGCAAAGCCTGTGAGTAATTTGTGTGTGGGCCGAACGACCCAGTTAAGTGGACAAACAATATTTTAAGGCGAGTGCCCGTCACCCCGTCCATCGTGGGGTGGAACATCTGCTGCCACCTCCTCCTCATTCGCAATTGGCACCGTGGTGCGCAAGCAGCCGTGTTGCATCTTTATCGAGTCGACGATGAGAATTAGATGAAAGGTGTTCATAAACGCAATGAAACTTATTATAACGGCATACGTTAAGGAGCTTATGTCTTTCAACCACAGCGACCACATCAGCGTCAACTGAAAGGCGAGCACCCGCTCGAATACGAACAGATTCCATATGACTATTAGGGCCACCAAAAAGGCCAGCCATCGATGCTGTAGGGGATGCGTGCCGGGAGTCGGATCAGTTTAATGGGGCAATTGGTAGCTTAAATCACCTGCACAAGACCCGGCAACAGAGCCAATGCATTGATCAAGTAATTCAGATTCAACAGGGCTTTTGGAAACTCGTTATACTCCATGGACGGATCGAAATTCGTTTCCTTGGGTACCAGGTAGTCGCCAATAATCGGTACATAGTGCCAAAGGCTAGCTTGCCCCTTGTGCCCTAAAAAGGTTTGTGTTACTAGGTTTTCCTGATTGGTGTACTTCCTTCATACGCTTACCATCTATACAGCGGTCCACGTATTTGATCATATGGCAGAGGAGTGCATTGTAGAGAAACAGATTAAATGCAGGCGGATAGAGCATGTTATCCGCTTGTTACAATAAAACAACTCGTAGAATTTTTTATAACAGCACTAAGAATAAAATAGCTTAGTCTACTAAATCACTTTCTCAATTTCATATATATTCTTTTTTCTTTTATTTCCAGGTAAGTGGCAATTAAACCTAAATTGACATGCACAACCTAAGCAAACTGAGAACTTGTAAGTAAAGTAAATCGCATCATTTCGCTCACAGAAAGAAACTGTCTGAAGTGTATTTACATAATCGCGAGCAGAACAGTACAAAGCCAGACTGACTGAGGTAAATTTAAATAAACGAATTAATAGCAGAAATTCAACAACAATGATTATTGCCAATAGCAACAGGGCTCAAAAGTTTTATTATGAATTGTAAATGTGCCCCCATCCACTCTACCCACTTCAGAGCCATCTCCTTCGAGTTACGCCAAGGAGACAGTTCGTTGTTGTTGGCGGAATGTGCTGACAATCGTTGGATTGCAGACTCTTGGACAAACAAAACTTGGGCTATCTGGATAATTTAAACTTTAAAATGACCAGCCGGGCCAGCTCGCATCGAGCCTAGGAAACGAAAATTACCCCCGTCCAACTTTGAAAAAGCTGTAAAAATGCAAAAGTTTGCCCAATAAACATTAGGCATAACTTTCCTAGCAAATCTTTTCGCCGACTCACCTTACAATTTTTTAGTCTCCCAACCTGGAGTAGGCATAAACGAAGTACTCCCAATTTTTTTCGCCCTACCTGCCAAGCGACAAGCTTATCAAATTTTTTACAACTTTTTTCGTGTTTTTCCATTACGAAAAATAAAAAATGAAACACATAAAGTTAAATATTGTGGCGGTGAGTTTGTATTCCGAAAACTTGAAAAAGTTGTAATATTTTAAATGTTGTAATATTTGCAAAATCTGTAGCTTTCATTTGAGAATCGCTTAAAGATGTTGTGCCAAAATTAACAAATAGCCAGAAAATATATGAAACGTTAATTAAATTGCGCCCAATTAGTTTGATTCACTCAACGCCCAGGCCAGCAGCCAGTCGGGCAACATCAAAAAGGTGTTGGCTTCGTGCCCGCGGCGATGCTTAGCAAAAGTTAAACAAAGGTCAAGTGCTTCAAATGCCTAATTAACGCCTAATGAGCGTCGGCGTCAGCGTTGATGACAAACTTTCCTAACCAGGGTACAAGAACCTCGGGCAAGGAGTTTAAGTCAAAAGTCAAACAATTACGGATCGAAATACTCAGCGAAATCCATATGACTGCTGCAAGTGTGAGGCAAAATGTATTTCAATTGTGAGCCTGCAGAAAAGCTTTTTAATTGTGAATTTAAGACTGAAGAATTTTTCAGTGAACAATATTTGACATAGATACAAAATACCTGGACAATTGCGAAAGCCTTTTGCTTGTAAGAAAAGGTTCAAAAATGTGTATGAATAACCAGATCATATCAATAATTTGATGAAATTGCCGTACTGTTTGTCGTTGCCCTTAAAATTTATATTTCATGCACAAATATTGAATTAAGTTTCCTTTTAAGCCAGCTTTTCATTAGTTTATGTGTGGTGCGTGTGGTTTGTGTGGTTGTGCGGAAACTGCTCCAACCACACACAAGTGACGTGTGCATACAACTTCTTGACCAAATTGTAAAAAGTCTCCTCAGAGAATTGGCTTCGGTTTGTTTGTCAAGGCATTTCTTTACCTAAATGTATTTGTTTTTTGCCCTCACGGCCGTAAATTTTATTAATTAATTTCAAATAGGTCGATCCCTGGCTGCTGCCTTAAAGCAATTCCACTAAATGATTTTTTGTTGGCCCAAGACTTTGCTTGTTGGCTTTTACTGTGCACATTGAGAACTGTTTGTGTTGACTTACTATTTGTTTATCGCAGTACATCACAGCTTTTGGAAATCTTTTATATAGATATTTTTATAGAGTGCAATCCGATCACATTAAAGATATACGCTACCATTTACCACGAGTTTTCCGAACATCATGGGGGTGAATTTTCAATTAAAAGTGGGAGTTTTATGGGACGGAAATTAGACCTCAGCACATAGTAAAGGGTGCTATATGTTTTTATATGTCTTTAATCAATTTTCACTAATCAACTAATTTAGAACTAAAAAGTTGCACTTAAATTGTTTAAAATTTGCTGATTCTGCTCCACAACCGACGCACCCAGGCAGCCCTTTGGAGCAGAGCAGGCAATAAAAATGCCAATAATTCGAATACGAAACTGCAAATTTGGTCAGCAATGGCCAGAGGCAACGTTTTATGGGTCTGCAGCGAACATCTCGAATCTAAGCGTAAACAGCTCGAAAGTGATTTTAATTGTTGATGAACATCCTGCCAAATTACATGACTTGCCAAACGAGCTGAGGCAATGGCCCCAAGCTCGAATATGCTCAATAATGGTCTAAAAACGATTTGGAGCCTGCATATTTTTCAGTTATGAGGCAACGGTGATAACCATAATTAAAACCAAAGCAACCAACAAAAATTTGTGCATAGACAACGAAACAGACATATCCGCCCCCGCTGTGCCCCCACCATCCCACAACAACTGTTCAAAAACATGGCCGGCGTTTAATATTCCGCAATCATGCGTTGGACACGTTAAACGGTATGTGGTTCTATATGTGTGTGACTGTGACTGTGTGTGTGTGTGTGTATGTGTGCGTGCGTGTAAAAGTGTGTGGTGAAGTGCGAATTACAACACTTCCTGCTGGGTTTGCTTTGGCTTTCTATTATAATCACAAAACTTAACTATGTGAACATTTCTGGTCGATTTTCTAGAGCTCTTTGCTCTACGCTCTACGGCTGCGGCTATGTTCATCCTTATTTTATGTCCTGCAGCTGCTTCATACATTGACATTGCCAACCCGCACACAATTCATCGTATGGAGAAAAACAAACATTTTCGATGAATTTTTGTGCATGTGCACTGCAAAATTGAAATCTAATCAAGTTGAAAAGCCGTACAATGCGTTTAATTGCTCGCAGCTGGCCGAAAACTGTGAGATATTGCGTCAAAGGATTCCTCAGTGCTTCGACCGACTGCGAATATCCAATCATGTACAATTATTTGCACAATCCAAACACAAAATTTTCGCATGCTTCATTCAACTTCGGTTACGACCTTTTAATACAAATTCTTATAGCAACTCAGGCCGCACAGTGGCTGGATATGTTTTTGTTCTTGTCGGTTGATTGATGTGACAGAAGTAGATACCTAGAGTAGTACGCTCCACTTGTTGATGTCCCTTAAATGTTGGCCTAATCGTTTTGCATCTAGTTCGAATCCCGTAAAAATATTTCACCTGCCAGACATGTACCATTTTCAAATGTTCTAGCATACCGTTAGCAGCGTTACAGTGCTTCAAAAGTTTTATTGCATAAATATGTACAGTCAAAAAGATTTTACATGTTTTCATCACCAACCTGTACAACTTTTCCATGTACTTGCCCCCGCTCGTGCACTCGTATTTTAGTCGAGAATTTCGCAGTACAGTTTTGGTAAAAATCTTAGGTTACAGCTCTGACGCAGGTGGAGCTCAAATGCGTTTTACGTGTACCTGTGGCTTTCCAATTCCTACTAAGTAAAACCAACCTGTTCAACACCTAGAAAGATGCAAGCGCAGAGCGCGCCAGCATTTGAGCACGTATGGAGGAAATGCGAATATATTCTGCATAAGTCTATTCGATTATCATGTATACAGCACGATCCTTTTACATTACATAAGCTTATCTTGTTCATTAGATTAATTCCTACCCCATGCCCATTATTTTGCAGAGTTAAATGCTGTCTAAGACCTTAACTTCAACGTTGCCTTTTGGCTGATGCGGGCCACAAAATAATAAATCTTATTAGATGCACAAAATTTGCTTAAAGATCCATAAATGTATTTTACTAGCGCAGCAAAATCCCAAAGAAAAGAGCTTAACTGCCACACACACAGATACACATATATACACATGTGGAGTTGTCGATAAATGTGTGTAGACTCATACGACACACACACACACATATAAATATGAAATACGTATACAATAAATCTAAGCCGATTTAATAAAAGGCATTAAAAAATATCTATTTTTGAAATGAAAAATATTAAATCGGCACGAAGTCAGCAGGAAAATGGCCAGCAGCTTGGCAAAGGATACACACACTCAAGTTGATTGGAAAAGTGCCTGCGCCTGGCCACAAAGGAGGCCAGAAAGAACCCTATAAGCGTCAGTCGCCCAAAATGAACACCCGAACACCCAATGAATGGGAGCAAGCGGATAAAATGAAGCCAGGTCCCTACATCAAACAGGAAAATGAAAACGGAGACAAGGCTAGAACTGACCGCTCACGCATGATTAAAAAGACCGAGTTGGGTCAGGATCGGTTCTGGGGCTGGGCTATTGAGTGCTTAGATACTTGGCCGCACGGGCTTCCTTTCAAGTTGAGTAAATGAGCATTCAAGCGTTTCAGATTATCAATATGCATGAATGGGAAGGGACAGCACAACGAACCGAATGACCGAATTGTACTTAAGTTCAACTTAACAGCCCAGCCCAACAGATGCTCTGGTATAGCCATAGATATGGGCCAGTATGGGGGATATGCGGCGATTATGTGAGGTGGTTGCGTATCGCGTTCTTCGAATGTGGAGCTTGCCTGCCAAATGAAGCGATTTCTCGCTCATTTAAGAAGCAGTGCAAAGGCGGGGCACAACGGAAATTCGTTTGATTGCAAAACCCCGTAGGCTATCTGTCGCCGACTGTTCTGTCGTTATGCAACACTGCCAATACCAACGAGCATGTCGCAAAGACGACAAGTTGATGCGTCTGCTTCTGGATCTGCATCTGCATCTGCAACTGTTGCGGCTGCATCTGTTTGACCCCCTGTGACAGAGCTGAGCAGCTCATAGTTGAGATATTTTTGCTGCTTCTTCCGGCCATGTTGGCGGTATGTGGATGTGCGGGATGTTCGCTTGGCTGCGCTAATGCGCGCCACTTGCAGAATGCTTAAAAACTCAATTAAGTGATGAAGGGCGACGGCAACTGGCAACTGGAAAGCAACGCAGCAGGCACAACACGAAGCCGTCG